GCCCGTTCCAAATCTGTAACAGGCCGTTCTGCCAACTTTTTGATGTCTATAAGTAGCAGACTCGGGCATAGTTCTCAAGGCCACAAAATTTCGTCTAAAACTCCTTAGAGCTCGAAATTTCTCTCTCTCTCTCTCTCTTATTATATTTCTTGAGTTTTGTGAGGCTTATAGTAGTGTGAAAGGTTGCCACAAAGCACCTAAAAATCACCATATTTGAAGATTTAATAGAAGCTCATTCAAGAGGTATTTCAGTCAATCTTCTTCTCTCTCTTTTATTTCTTATCTTTGATAAACATTGTTATAATAAAAGCAATCATGTAGACATTTTAGAGTCAATTGTGTAATTTAAATTTATAGCATGTAAATAAATATTAATAAAGGGGATCTAATATTTAATTTATTAATTCTTATCACATTAACTTCATCATAGGGTACCGATTGAGAGCGCTGTAGGGGTGCTTAATACCTTTCCTACACGTAACCGACCCCGAACCCAATTCTGGCTATTAAGACCATTATTGAAATTTTAAAAACCTTTTCTTTTTTCAATGTTTTGAGTAAAACATTGGTGACGACTACATGAACTCATTTTTCAAAATCATTAATTAAGGATTAGCCTGGTGTCCGGATATTCCTTAATTGATGAAATTTTTAAAAGGATGTCTAAATCATAGGTTGCAAGATAAAAAATTTTCGGGTTGCGAGAGGAACTCGCTGTATGAGGGGCTAAGCTACATTTGAGACCACGTTTTACAATGCCGAAACTACACACTTATCATTCCCTTGACTATAAATTTGAGAGGGTCTGCAACGATATCTGTGAATTTCTTGCTTCAGTCCCTCCAATATGTAAATCTACAGTGAAAACATTTAAAGTGGTGTTGTTTAAAGCAAATTTTAGTGCGATGAGGTGATAGGATAGAGGAACGAGAAGTTATCAAATTGAACTTGTACATGTAGTAACAATGTTAAAATATGTTAATGTGACATGTAATATTTTAATTGATATGAGTTATTCTCTTTGGAAGGCTAGGAATGTTGATAGAGTTTTGGGGATAGGTGATTTCCATCCGCAAGTATAATGTTCATGAATGTATTTTTTCATTAATCATATAACAATGCTTAAAAATAAAATAAAATTTACGGAATAATTAGTTTTTTAACTATTAGAATTAAAAATTTAGATGGTCCAAATCTAATTATAAATAGCATAAATCCAAATTCATGGCCTTTCCAACCTTGGCAAGTATTTTTACTCTAGTATTTAATATTATAAATATTTATTTAGTATCTAACTTCATGATGAATATGTTTGGAAAAAGAGAAGTAGAGGAAAAAAATCAAATTTTTGGCCATGCAACATGTAGTAGACTTGCAATGAGGAAAAGTGTGTCAAAGATATGGAGTCAAATTCCTAATCGTGCAACATGTTGTAAACTTACATTAAAAGTGTGACTTACAATATAGTTGCAAACTTGCCTTATGTTACATACATGCATTGATTTTAAAAATAAAAAACAAATGAAATAATTTTATAATAATATTTATAAATAAATGAAATAGTAATAAAAAGTATTTTTTATTGATTATTTTAAATAAAGTTATTTATTAAAAATTAACTTTCATTTTATTTTCCTTCTATTATCTTTTACAAAATTTTTATTTCTTCTCTATTTACCTACTTCGTCATATTTTCTTATATTTTTTTCTTCTTCTATTTTCTCTATTTATTTCCTTTTTTTAAAAAGAGTGAAAATCAAAATGATAAAATATTTCCATTCATCTATATTTGGTTGAGTGGATGAAAAATGAGATTAAAGATAAATATTTGAATTTCAATTTGAAGGAAAAGTGGAAGAAGAATAAAATTTAAATTTTTGTTTCTAAAATTCAACTTTTCTTCCCATTTTTCTTTCACTTTCTCTAATAATATTTCTTTTCAATTTTTCTCTTTTTATTTTCTATCCTCCCATTTTTATCTCTTCCAAATTCCAATCATAGAGTTAATGTTTAATAGTCGTTTTTTAGTTTTCATTTTAATATATATTTTTTTCTTATATATATATTCATTTCATTCCAAAATTGAAATGTAAATGCTAATAATAATAATAATAATTTATTTATTTATTAATATTGAAAAATAAAATATAATAATTACAATTTTTTTTAGTAGAGCCATTCTCTACTAGTTAAGCATAAAGTGACCATGTTTATATAAAAAAATTATATATCTAAATATTTTCTCAGTATCGAATATACTGATTTTTTTATATAAAAAATTATCTTATATTTTTATATTTCCATTTTTACATGTTTTTTTTATAATGACTGAGGTATTTGATCCATTTGGATAGCCAAAATATATTCGATCTTGTATGATTGATGTGCTTCTAAAAATAATTATAATTTTATTGATTTTATCTCTTATTCATAATTATTTATATAACTAGTTTTGGAACATCTTCCAGATGTAGATTCTTCAATCTTCAACAACGATGAGACGGTTTGGGGGCGGTGGATCTGACCCGGCGCGAGGTTGGCGACGAGCGTCCCTTCGTCAGAGGTGAGCTGTGCTGGTGTGAGTGGAGCTCCATGGTGGCTGGTGCTGGTGCGAATGGATCAGACGGAGCCGAGGAGCTCGACGGAGACGCGGTGGCTGGTGCTGGTGTGAGTGGATCTCCGCGGTGTTGCTGGTGCTGGTGCGAGTGGATCTCCGTGGTGTTGCTGGTGCTGGTGCGAGTGGATCTCCGTGGTGTTGCTGGTGCTGGTGCGAGTGGAGCTTCTGTGATTTTTGTACCAATCACACCTCTCCATTTCACATTTCATAGTGCTAAGCATCGTTCTTTCTCCAAACAATAAAGCTAAAAAAATTGGAATTTCTCTTGCCAAGTAAGATCACTCCATTAGAAATTTCTTGTAAGCACCACTACTTATTTTTAAAATACACTATAAGCACCCTCACTAGAAATGCTCTTATTATCTCAGTTTCAATTATTTCAGTGACCGAAACAACTCTAACATCAATACTATATGAGTTTATCGTGTGCATAAATGATCCATAATGGGCTTATCCTTACACACATTTCCTATTTAGAACAACTTCAGCACTTTCAGTTGACAAGCAGGTCAAGATGGATCGATACCATTATGATATAAAAATTACAAATTACTCAACTAATAAAGAGAATAAACTAAATTAAAAGATTAATTCATCATTAATAATCGTATTATCAAATTAGTAATTATAAAATAAAATCCACCAAATTTAAGTCTATTATAATTGATGTAAATAATTATACAAATTAAAATAAATTTATTATTCATTTATTGTTGATCTTTAATATTTGAGCACATCATAGCCTAAGTGTTGAAATGTTTATTTTTTGCATATACCTGACTCTACAAAGTTATCGCCTAACAAGAAGTTCACGGAGATTTTTCAATGTACTCTCAAACACTTACCCAATCGATTATAAAATCGTCTCCGTAAATTACAGTAAGTAATATCTCTGGTTTCTTTATTCTGGAGATTCAATATGAAGGTAAAACATGAAATTAATAACTTATGTCTATCCCGATTCCCGAATTACCACCACTGCATTTCTTTGATTTCCTATTTCACCCTTGGCGCCAAATTACTTACGGTAACAATGCTAAATATTTATACATAATAATAATTAATCATTAATACATATAAATAAAATCCGGGATTGAAATTGATCTCTTACCCTTTTTCCCGTGCAAAACTAAAAGCAAGACATTCCGTGAATTATTCTTTCAATTTGGTGCCAAATTGTTAATATTAATTTATATTTATTTTTTTATTTATGAAAATTGAAGCCAGTTTTTAAGACTATATTCTTAATTTTTAAATTTAAATACATTTTTAATTCTTGTAAACATAAATAAAAATCAAATTCAAATATATTGATAGCTAAAATGCTTTGCATTATTTTTCAAACGGAAGATTGTCAAGTAAGCTTATTAATTTTTATATAATTATCTTAACGTTTAATAATTTTTTCTATAATATCATAAACTTTGTATTATAATTCTGTAATTCATTATCTTATTTATTATTTATTTTATTCTAGTCTTTGTTATTTATTATTATAAAGATTAAAAATAAATCTATAAAATCATGAGAACTAAAATAATATAAAAATAATATGCATAAAAATTAAAATAAATATTTTTATGTATAAAAACTAAAACATAAAGTTCCGAAATTATAAAAGCTAAAATAGTAATTAAAAAAATATCTATAAAATGATACATAATTAATTGAATTTATTTTACAATAATAACATTTTAATTCATATAAACAAAAATTTATTATGTTTACAAAGTAATCAATACATTAAACGTAATACTTAAAATTAAAAGTTTTAAAAAAAATTAATTAGCAGAGCCAAAAAAAAAAAAAAAAAAAAAAA